ATAAATTATATAAATGGACTTAGAGACAATAGATGCAGAAAAGGCTTTTGACAAAACCCAACACACATTTATGGTAAAAGCACTAAAGGGAATTGTACAGAAGGGAAACTACCTCAAATAATTAAAGCTATACACAACAAACCCACAGCCAACATCATTTTCAATGGAGAAAAACTTGAAAATAAATCCCACTAAAATCAGGAACCAGACAAACTTTCCACTATCCCCATTCCTTTTCAATATAATACTTGAGACTCTTGCTGGAGCAATAAGGCAAGAAATCCCAAAAATTCCACCAGATAACTAGAATAGATCACCAATTTCAGCAACTGACAGGTTACAAAATCAATTTACAAAATCAGTACCTTGTGACTTCACAGAAAAACTTCCATTCAAGAGCCTCAAAAGTATCTATGAATGAACCTAATCAATGATGTTGAAGAACTCTACAATGAAGAATTGTATCTTTGAAGAGAGAGACTGAGGAAGACAAAAGGAGATGCTTATGGATTGGTAGAATTAATGTTGTGACGATGCCCAGCCTATGGAATAACAAAAGACCCAAGATAGACAAAGCAATTCTGAGCACAAAGAGCAATGCTGGTTGTGGGGGAGGGTTGTGCTGGGTAACTTTAGTTGTCAAGTTGATACACCTGAACAGAAGAGGTCTCAATTGTAGAATTGCCTCCACTGGACTTGCCTGTGGCCTTGTCTGTGGGGCATTTTCCTGATTGTTGAGTGATATAGGAGGGCCCAGCGCACCGTGGGTAGTACCACCCCTGGGCAAGTGGTTCTGTATTGTATAAGAAAGCAGTCTGAGCAAAGGCCAGGGGAGCAAGCCAGTAAGCATCCTTCTTCCATGGCCTGTGTTTCAGGTTTGTGCTCCAGGTTCCTGTCCTGAGTTCCTACATTGGTTTCCCTCAGTGATGAACTGTGCTGTAAATCAAATAAACCCTTTCCTCCTCAGGTTGGTTTTAGTCAGTATTTTGCTCATAGCAAATAGAAAGAAATTAAACAGGGAGATTACAATACCAGACTTAAATTTATATTACAGAGCTATATTCATGAAAACAGCATGGTGTTGGAACAAAAACAGGCATGTAGATCAATGGAAAAAAAGAGAATGCCCAAACTTAAGTGCATGCAATTCAACCACCTGATATTTGGCAAAAGTGACAAGAATACACACTGGACGAAAATCAGTATCTTCAACAAATGGTGCTGTGAAAACTGGTTCTCCATGTGTAGAATGAAATTAGACTCTTATCTATCTTCCTGCACAAAGTCAACTCCAAATGGATCAAAGACCTCAATGTGAAACCTGAAACTCTGAAACATGGGCAGCATCCTCCAAGATACAGGTGCAGGAAAGGACTTTCTAAATGGGACATCAGTTGCTCAGGAATCAAGGTCAACAACTGACAAATGGGACCTCAATAAGCTAAAAAGTTTCTGTACAACAAAGAAAACAGCCCATCAAGTGAACAGGGAGCCTACAGAGTGGGAGGAAATCGTCATCAGCTGTTCATCTGACAGAAGACTGACATCCAGAGTGTACAAAGAACTCACAAAAATAAAGAAGAAAACAAATGGCCCAATTAAAAAGCGCGCTATGGATCTGAACAGAGAGATCTCAAAAGAAGAAATAACAGTGACCAAGAAACACCCTTAAAAGTGTTCAATATCTTTAATAATTATGGAAATGGTAATAAAAAACATTTTAAGATTTCATCTTATACCAGCTAGAATGGCTATGATCAAGAGAACAAAGCTACCAAATGCTGGTGAGGATGCAGAGAAAAGGGAACGCTCAATCAGTGCCGGTGGGACTAAAAACTGGTGCAACCACCTGGAAAGCAGTATGGAGAATTCTTTAAAAACTAAAAATAAATCTACCATATGATCTGATTATACCCTGCTTGGCATATACCCAAAGGTCATGCAGCTATGTTTGTTGATGCTCTTTTCACAATAGTTAAGAAATGGAAACAAACTAAATGTCCCTTAACTGGTGAATGGACAACTAGAATGTGGTACATTTATACAATGTTAACAGTAAACAAAATTGAAATCATGAAATTTTCAGGTAAATGGATGGAGCTAGAGACTTTTATACCAAGTAACAGAGATGCAGAAAAACAAGTGATAACTTGTTCTGAGTGACAACTCAGCAAAACAAGTTTGTTCTCTCATTTGTGGTTCATGGGGGCAAAGGGGAAGGAGCCCAAGAGAGGGGGAGTTAGTAGGAGACGTTGTTATCAAGGGGGAAATGGGGAAAATGGGAGTATTTAACTGGGAAGGGAGGGGAGAGTGTTAAACATGGAGCCATCAGGGTAAAGGGGAAGAAGGAACTTCGGAGAGGAGAATAATAGGAGACATATTATTAAGGGGGAAATGGGGAAAAGTGAGGGTATTTTAACCAGGGAGGAAGGAAGGAGGTTTATACAGTGAGAGAGAAGAGAGATAAATAATTTTTAGGTGGTATGAAAAACCAGGGAGAACTATATTAGTTCAAAAGCCTACTGAAACATCACATCATATATATATATATATATATATTACACAGGCTATTGTTGCAGCCCTTGATAACCTCCCAGAACTTGAAGACCCTATTGCTGAAGGCAGGATGCACTTTAGATGCAGGACTTGGAGAAAGGATGGGATGCACTTTAGACGCAGGACTTGGAAGGCTGGAAGCCTCCTTCCTGAGGACTAGCTCTCCTAACATCAAAGGATATCATGCAAGCTGCACAGAACAAAGATGGACACAGTAAGCTATCTAGATTGGTGCAGTAGTGGCACTTTTAGCTTGGGAGTAATCAACAGCTATGACTAATTGGACTTAAATCCCACTCATTGGAGGGAACTCGTGTGTCACTATAAACGTAGAAAAATATACAAGACTGAAGCAGTTATAGATTCTAGAGAAAAATCTGTCACATCCCTAGACAAATGAAATTTCTTCCTGTATGCTAAATATTTATCTTTATATTCACAGACAAGTATACCTCTCATCACTCATCAAAGCAGCTTCTTTTTTCAAAAGATGGAAACTATTATAGAGTTCAGTAACTGATCAAACACAGAGAATAACTGTTTATGAGATACCCAGCCCTAAGTGACACATCTACAATGCAACCTCCACATCTAAGGCTCAAGGAAGATAGTGGAATAGGGGACAGACAAAATATGAATGTGTCTCTCAGTTCTCATCAGCGAAAATAAGAAAATAAGAAACTGTAGAGAGCATGTACCTGGATAGGACTCTTATATTAAACCACTGCCACTCAGGGCTAAGGGAGTGTTGTGGAAGAGGTGGGGGAAGACTGTAAGAGCCATAAGTGATGGATAACCACAAAGAAACAGTTTTCCAGGCAGCTGAGAACTTGCTGATATGAACTTGCAATGGTGATAACATGCACAAGACATGTACAAACTCAAACAGACAAAAGTTAACATAGAAGTGGGGACGTAGTAAGAAGCCCCAACCTTAGCTGAGGAGCTGTTGGAAGCTGATCACTACTGGGTGAGGGAGAGTTGGTCTTCTTTAATGGAGTGATGCTAGATAGGTTGACTAGGCTCCAGTGGATGAACTTACACCGAGGGTCATCTGGGGACACAAACTTGACTTGATAGGCTTTACTAGATATAACAGAATGCATGAAATCTGGCAGGGCAGCTATGGGGGATGCAGATAAGGGAGGGGGCCTAGGTGTGATGAGGATGTATGAAATGCACAAAAATTTAATAAAAAAGAAAAAAAGAAATTCCAGTTAACCTAAGGAACTCTTGACAAATGACAGCTGCTGGAAGGAGGAGAGACAATCTCTTACAGGGATGGTGCTCTTGTTAGGTTGACCAGGCTCCAATAGATGGACCCACATTGAGGGACTACACAAATCAGACTCTATAGACCATATTATATATACAGTGGTGTACATAGAATTGAGTGGGGGAGGCTGGGGGAGGGGCAGATGGAGGAGAGGAGCTATACAACATCAATTTATATTGTATACAAATCACAAAAATTCAATAAATTTTGAAATAAAATTTTAAATAACAATAATATTATCAATATATTTAATACACAAATTCAGAAAAAATCCAAAGTGTTAACACTATGAAGAGATTTTCATACTGCAAAGGACTCTTACAAGGGCTCTCTTCATGTCTCTGTTCCTCAGACTATAGATGAAGGGGTTCATCATGGGGGTTACCACTGTGTACATCACAGCCAGAACACTTTCCTTTATGGTAAAATTATTAGTTGATGGACATAAATAGAGACCAATAATTGTCCCATAGAACAGTGACACCACAGAAAGGTGGGAACCACAAGTGGAGAAGACCTTGTAGATACCTCGAGTAGATGAAACCTTGAGAATGGAGGAGACAATCCGTGCATAGGACATAACAATGAGTAGGAATGGAAAAATAATGATGAGCCCTCCCATGATAAATATCACCAACTCATTAACATGAGTGTCAGAGCAGGCCAGCTTGAGCAGAGCAGACAGATCACAGAAAAAGTGGAGGATCACATTGTCCCCACAGAAAGACAATCTGACCAAGAGCAGGGTGTGTAGCATGGCATGGAATGTGGTCAGCGCCCAGGACAGCACCAACAAACACACACAGAGCTTGGGGCTCATGAAGCTGGTGTAGTGCAGAGGGAAGCAGATGGCCACATAGCGGTCATAGGCCATAATCACAAGGAGGAAGCTTTCCATATCTCCAAAAACCATAAAGAAGTACATCTGTGTCAGGCATCCTGCATAGGGGATGGACGGTACTGGGCTCTGCATGTTCTGTAACAATTTGGGCACTGTGACGGAGGAAAAACAGAGGTCAGTGAAGGACAAGTTACTGAGAAACAAATACATGGGTGTGTGGAGAAGGGAGTTCAGTCCAATAAGGACAATGATGATGAGGTTCCCCAGGATAGTGGTGAGGTACATGGCCAAGAACAGGGCATATGACATGTGCTGGTGCTGTGGTGGAATGGGAAGGCCCAGAAGGAGGAACTCTGAGATTATTACAGTTTGGTTGTTTCTTGCCATCATCTGCCTATAGTGTCTGCAAAGGAAAATAATGATTTTTCTTTAAATCTCAAAGAAAATGGAAATGTTTCTGTGACGTGTGTTTCCTATTCCAAAATAATTAATTTTATATGCATCAAAATAATTGTAATCTCTAAATACAAATGTATGCAATCATTAGCGACCTCTTAAATTCAGTTTAGCATGTTCCAATATTCCAAAAATTGCAAAATCACTTCTATCTATTTGTTTCTATGCTGCAAAATGCATCGATGCTTCTCTTTTCTGCCTGACTGGTCATCTTAGATGACTGTAGTTTGCCCTTGTTCTTGAATGGTTAAAAAACCATACAATTAAATTAAAATAATTACTCTTCTTCAATCTTCCCAGAATACAAACTCACTAAACTTGACCTTTTTTAAAAAATTATTTTATTTTGAGAATTTCATATGAGTATTGTCTTTGCTTTATTTTCACCTCTCCAAATCCCTCACCATCTTCTCCCATGTATCCCACTCCCTCTCAATTTAAACTTCATCTTTTAACTCTAAATTTGTGTACCCTATGATGAGCTTCACACATATAATTTTGTGTTTGTGGAAAGTATTAGAGTAGATAAGACAAACTACTCTTTTCAATAGTACTAATGATTCATATTTACTTTTTAACTTTTACAAAAACCTTATTGAGAATTTCATACATGTATATAAGGTGTTTTGATCAAATCCATGCCCACTCCTTCCCCTCCAACATTCCCCCCTCTGAAGAGGTAACGCTAAAATCTTTTAAGGATTAGATACAAGTGCCCAAATATTTTTTGACATTTTTGGTCTTTGGAACAGAGTATGTTGCTAACATGATTCATATTTCTTATACTTCAATCCACGTCATCTCATTGAGAGTGGCATGGAAAAAATAAATATGAGCATTTTACAGATTATCACAAAACTACCAAACAAGAAGCACCAGTTATTTGAGTTCTTCAGATCACTATACTTTTCAGTAGTTAATTTTTGTATGAACTGGTCTAGACTCTGGTACCAATTTTGGTCGAATTATAGCTCTAAATATGGCTAGTAGGGTATTTTATAATGTTATTAGCATTTGAATCAGTAGACTTTGAATAAAGCAATTCTAGCCTTCCTACTGTGATAAGCCTCATACAATCAACTGAATGAACAAACAGAAAAACTATCCTGATAAACTGCAATGAGACTACCTTGGATTTGAGACTGTAACCTCCACTCTTCCCAAGGACTCCAGCCTACAGATGCTGAGTTTACCAATCTCCAACACTGCGTGGAGTGTGTCCTTAAAATACAACCCCTGCCCTTTTCTGTTTTCTTCTAAATAACCCTGTCTAATCATCTGTAATGTATCAACTGACAAAGAAAGCAAAGGAGGAGCACAAAGGATGTAGGGAGGAAGGCTGAGGCATAGCACAATGGTATGACGCTCCTCTAGCATGCCCAAGGCTCTGGGCTCCACCTTTAGCACTAGAAAAAAAGATAAAAGACACAGAGAGGTGGGATACACTTCTACTAAAATGACATACCTGAGTTCAACTTTTCATATCTTCATCCTGCTCATGGTGAGTAATGCAGCCGCATTAATAGTTTGTATGCCTGGATGTTGTATTTGACATTACAAACAAAAGGAAAGTGTAGGCAAAATTATGAACCTAGTTCCTCAGATTCTTCTTCCCTTGTGAATGAGAGGTATCGGCATCTTGTGTAGAATTATGTGTAAGAATTACAAACTAAAGATCACCTGCAGAGGTTGATGATGACGGTGACCTAATCAACTTCACATCTTCAAATGTAAAGTCTACAATTCTTGACCTAAATAGCAGATAAGAATCTCCCATGGAAATGCTCCTAATATTTAATATATGTAACTCACCTGGGAGTCTGTAAAAACACTGATTCTGGTTATATAGCTGATATTCTACTTTATAAATGAATACATGGGTGATGTCAATGGGTTACCTTATGGAGAAAGTTTGTACATTACCATTGAAATTACAGATTTCTGAGTTCTTGTGCATATGCCTGCTCAAAGTTTATCAATGTTCCACAACTAAATATGTAATAGGAAAAAAATAATAACTACAGCAGTCAACCCTACCCAAAGAGTGGTTATTACTATGTTAAAATGATATGATTTTGGAAGAATAATTGCACAGAAAATAATTATAATGAACTTCGTCATTACCAAAAAGATTATAAATCACAACTGTGAAGCAAAGTATTTCCACAGCATGCCAACGTATTGTAAGATAGAGAGACAGCAAATAAGAATATTATCATACCTGAAAAATAGTCCTTTATAACATGATAAAGCTGGAAATTCAACACCCTCAGGTTTTGAGGGTAGTCAGGTACCAGCACGTTCCCCTGACTATATATCCAGGTTGGTCAAGGTGGAATCAGGGTTTAAGGACACAGTCCTTCTCACCTTTATTTGTAGTCAAAGAAAATAACCACCTCATCACCTATCTGCACCTCCCTACTTATATCTACCTTTATAACCATCCCCGGACTTAAGGGGCTCAGGATCCCAGAGGAGTCCAGATCCCGTATAACTCATTAAAGGACCTATATAGAACCAATTATCCAAAAGTTCTGTGGTAGAGACTGATTATAGTCACTGATCACTCCTGAATATACTTAGGAGAAAGGTGGAAATGAAGAGAAACTTGTAGATAAATGCTTACTCTTTGCCTGTTTGTGGAATGGACAGGATTTATGTAAGATTGAGCTTATTTTTCTGAGGGGAGTGAAGATGGGCTATTTGAAAACAAAGTGATCAGAAATCAGACTGTGTTTGGTATAAGGCATTTTTAGTGTATGTGTTGCCAAAGCAAGTATGGTATAAAATATCTTATCAGTGTAAAAATTTGCATGGCAAGCCACCAGTGGCTTTGGAGCAGATGGCCACCCAAAACAGGAATAAACTTTTTTTGGAATGATTCTCATCATAGTCTGTCATGCCACCTCCAGTGGAGCCCGCGTGAGGAACTCTACGTGGATCGAGGCTGAGAAAACTTCAAAGGAAGAATGCTTCGTGGAGAATGGCTGTGTTAAAAAAGCATGCTGTGTCCTTGGCTGTACTTTGCTTGCTATTATCATTATGACTGTCACTCTTGATCAAAACCTTGATGTTGAGAATAAGGTCCTAGAGTCATTAGGCCCACCTAAAGAGAGACTAGATACCGATGATTTCCTGGGAACTCAGTTTCCTGATATTAGACTTCCTCCAAATGCTCCTCTCTTGTTTCAAGCAATAAGTAAAGTAGCTAAGAATAGGCAACCTTGGAAAATTCTAGATAAGCTACAGCAAGAAGAATTATTTGTAAATAATCGCCCTACCTCAGTTCCTAGAATTGACTCAAGGAGATTAAAGGGATATTGAAAGAAGATTGCTGCCTTTAGTTAAGACAGACTTAGAAATTACCTACGAGTTAGGGAGAGGTAGGTTATGGCATCCCCTTAAGGGAAAGGAGAGCATATTTAGAATCCCTGAGCCCGTAGATGAACCACTTCCTCATACAAGAGTTTATAAAGGAAATAATAGATGGGTAAATATTTAAGGATGGAAAGTTTCATGGTATTCATAGTCCCCTATGAATACGTTAGCTAGATCTAGACCACCTTGGTGCCTTTACTAAGTCAGCAGCAAAGTATATTTGAATAATTATAGGCAGTATAAGAAATATGGATAGAAAGAATAGGAAAATAAGGATTAGAGAAAGAAGCCTTTGAAGTTATATGGAGTTATTATAACTTCACTGACCTAGTCATTGGCCTCGGCCACCGAAACCTCAAAATTGAGAAAACGGAACCATAAAATTACCAACCATGAAATTTATAAGTAGCTGATGTTGCAAAACCACTAAGGGAAAAGGACAAATAGTCTAAGCACCTGCTTGATTAGATAAGAACACTGTACACTGTACTGTATTGCTTTGATTTTGAATTGTATTTCTAACAAAATGATTAACCATGAAATCAACCTGATGCTTGCACAATCTTGTTCTGTAACTTGTATAAAATCTGATGCTCCACTTTAGAAAATTACTTTCAGATCATCAACCATCTCTTGTGTTGTGTCTGTTTGTCACTCGCCGAATCCTTGTCCACTCTCCGATTCCCTGTTCCCGTCGGACTGAGTGCTCCGGTCTGGGCTGGTCCGTCACAATAGTCCAGAAATAAAACATGACTCCTTATAAAAAGGCCCTAGGAGACATAAACATGCTACTAGCAAGTCTCAGATTCAGTGAGCCAACTCTGAATAAGTCACAGTGTATGAAATATGCAAAAATAAGAGAGGAGACAAACTCCTCCAGATCATGTTCAGTTCTTCCTCAGGTCAAGTTAGGAAAAGAATCCCAGGCATGGTTACTATGAACCCAGCACCAAACCTATGCCTGGGTAGGTCATAAGCCCTAGGGAGAGTGTACTACTGGTGTTTAGCTAAGAACAGCATCAAAGTGCCTCCTAAATGTCTATGTTTATACCCATAGACAAATGTTGCTCTCAGTCCTAATCAGAGAAACCCCTCTTCGCATTGAATGGCAGGGAATGTGGAGTCTCATGCTGCCCAAGGTGCAGAGAATAAGTGAAAACTGAGAACTCAACCCTAAGCGAGATATACGTACTACGAAGGCTCAGGGAACATGCAGGAGAGGGCATAGAGAGAATGTAAGACCAGAAGATATGGAGGACTGCAAGATACTATCCTGTAGACACAACACAGACCTTGCCATCATGAACTCACAGTAGTAGTGGTCACTTTCACTGGACCAACAGAAGATAAGCCCTGCCAAAAATCAGTAAAAAATGGGGGAGGGGCTTTGGGGGCCCTACCCCTTATTGCTGAGCCATTGGCTCTGGGAGGGGGGATCCATTGTATTCAGCTGTGTAATCACAGGTGAGCCCATCAGGATCCAGTGGACAATTCTAAACAATTACTTGGTCACAAACAAAACCAAAATATATGGATGAGGAAGGAAATTAGTA